TCTCAATGATTACCCTTATTTATTACAATATTTTAATTAACAAAATGAATACAATATTATTGAAATGAATGAAACTGTTTTATAAAAGATGGCTACGAATCATACATCCATATAAGAGGGTAATCGTAATCAACTTTGTTCACACTTTCTTCACTCGCAATGAACTGATCTTTTATGGATTGATCCTCTGGTGGGAGCGGTTGTGCCGGTGATGACGATCGCCTATATTTATATAAACCATAGCCTATCAGTGCTGTCACTCCAATCGATGCAAATAACTGATAGTTTTTGGGCCCGCTTTTACCGCTACTAACTTGAAATCCTGACTCTTTTCTCACCAATTGTTTCATATTTTGGGTTTATTTTGTAATTTCAATCTTTAGTTATTTATCTCAAGTATTAGTAGTATTAGAAAATTATATTTATTTTTATAACAGAATTATAAGCTAAACATTTTGTAAAATATTTAAATATTTGATTTAAAATGATGTTTAGTGTCTCGTTATCAAGAATGATCAATATTAAATAAATAAATTGACAAATAATACTAAATAATGTTAGTTAATTATCATAAAATAATTAAAAAATTTACTTTAAACGAGTGTAAAACGATTAGTTGGGTTTATTTAAAAAATAAAATAAAACTGATGTTAAAACTACAACTGAATATAAATTAAATGGAAACCATATGGCACTCATTCAAAAGTGCCGGCATTTAAAGAAACATGCATTTTGTTTTTGATACGATAGTAATATTAATATATGAACATTGGCTTAAAGTTATTTCCCTTGAAACTTATTTATTAATGTCATATTTCAGCTACATTTCACATGAATCTGCTATTTACTATTAATTTATCTGTTAGAGAATGAATACAGCATATGTCGGACGAGTTAACTAGATATTTTTGGCATTAATAATATATTTGACCAAAACTTGTGTTAAATCTGCAAATTTTAATTAATTTTATTGCATAATTTCATGCTTTATAGTAGAGTTTGTAAGTATAAAATTTATACTTTAATTGTTTGTCATCTTTAAAATAGTTACAATTAAAAATTAATTTGAATACAAATTACAATTTAATTTTTAACATAAACTTATAAATTATATAAATTGTATTATTTTTCTAAAACCTTTTAAGAAAAAGTTCACAAACATATTCTGAAACTAAATTTTAAAGTATAAATTATACTTTCTCAACAGAATTGGATAAACGTGTTATAAAATGGCAAACAATACAAGTACAGTGAAACTAAACCATTTTCTACACTCAAGTCAGTCACACGCCGTATTGCGTGAGTGGCAGTCACGCGGATCCACACACTTCTCTCCCGCGGACTTTGTTTTACCACTTTTTATAATCAATGGCGACGACGAGAATGAGGACATTGAGTCGTTGCCGGGCGTCAGTCGTATGGGAATTAACGTATGCGTCGAGTATTTGCGACCACTGGTCACAGAATACAGGCTCCGGTCTGTCCTACTGTTCCCCGTAATGAAGGGCACAGATAAACAGATCGCACACGCGTTTGACGCCACACGCAATCCAGTGCTTAGACTTATACCGATTCTAAGACAACAATTCCCGGACCTATTGGTGGTGTGCGACGTCTGTCTCTGCACTTTCTCACCCGAAGGTCACTGTTGTGTCTTCACAGCCGACCATAAGATGGATAACAGCGCGTCGATCGCGAAGATAGCGGCGATCGCCACAAAATACGCTGAAGTGGGCGCTCATGTGGTGGCGCCCAGCGATATGATGGACATCAGGATCAGTGCCATCAGGAATGCACTGAACGAGAAGGGCTTCGACACGGTTTCCATACTCTCATATTCGGCCAAATTTCAGTCATGCTTTTACGGGCCCTTCAGAGATGCCGCCGGTTCTTGTCATTACTATACTTTGTTATCATTTAATTATACGTTATGTTTATTTATTATAATAATTACACGAACTTAAAGTTTACACATGTGTTATTATAATTGACAGGATCTGCACCAAAGTTTGGCGATCGCAGAGCCTATCAGTTGCCGATCGGCTCTAAAGGGCTGGCCTTACGTGCGGTGGAGAGAGATATAGAGGAAGGCTGTGATATGGTTATGGTTAAGCCGGGTTTGCCTTATTTGGATCTCATATCGCAGATTAACAGCCGTTTCCCGGACTTCCCGATCGCTGTTTACAACGTTTCCGGCGAATACTCGATGATAATGACGGCCGCAAAGCACGGAGTGTTTGATCTGAAACAGTCTGTCTTTGAGACGATGACCAGCTTTAAGAGGTCCGGCGCTAACATTATTATCACATATTTTACGCCAAATCTGTTGAAATGGATTAAAGAGGACTAAATCTCTGTGAAAATGTACTTAAATTTCACAAAATTAAAATTTGACATTTGAAATGACATATTGATTAGTAATCAATGATTACTCGTACACTCTTTCATATCTTCACTTTCCTATCTGTATATTTACGAGTCTTTATAATGAAAGCAATAAATTCAAAAAGATTGCTAAATTATAATCTTGATCCACCAAAACAACTAATTTGAAGTTTCTGGTGACAATTTACAATAACTTGACATTCAAGTGTTTGATATCAATTTTAACTTGTACATTAAGTGCACAACAATTATAAAATACTTATAAATTAACTTTAGGTCATTTTGAGTGCAATTTATAAACTTTTTGATAAGTTGTGAAAATAGCAATTAACTTAATATTTTTACAAAAATCCCGTAAAATCTATATAATTATAGAGTTTTGATAATTTCCTGATAAATGGCAGTAATTCTTGAAATATTATTAAATTGAATAATAAAATGCATCGATAATAAAACCAAATTTATAATTGATAGTAAATCAAACACAATGTTTTAAAATGAAGTGAAATTAACATAAATTTTATTAAATTGTAATACACTTTAAATAAATTGATGTGCACTTCGTGTTTGGTCCAAAATATTATCGTTTTTTATAACTATTCAATCAAATGTTATAAATAATTAAATTTCTACATTAATCAAGAAAACATGTCGCCTATAGTTTACTTAATAATGATTTATTTAATATTTTATGTCAAATATCGGGATAAATATAATAAATAGATAAACAGTGTTTGAATCAAAGGCTTCACGGGATTTGATGTTAACCTTCAAAACGGCTTTTAATTATCAATTAATGCAAAAAAATATTTCAAAGTTAATCGCATTTGAAGTACAAATAAATGTGATTTATTAATAATTAATAATTTACTAAAAAAATATGACATTTAGTGTATGGTTTAATATAGTGGTACTAAATAATAATTAAACTATGTATATTTTGATTGATTAAATAATAAGCTAATACACAATTATCAAATAACTTTTCAATACCCAGCACTTCATTTAGGGCTTAAAAAGTTTTGGAAAATTATTTTATTATCATTTTTCTCCGATTTATATAAACTGAGAAAATATGCAATTATTTGACGAATGAATTGGTTTTAATTAAACAGATATTAAACACTTATATAACTATTAAAAATATTAAAACCCCTAAACATTTTAATTGATAATAAGAATAAGCGACCAAAATATCAATAATTGTCATTAAAGTAATAGAATATCTGATGTTTAATTATATAACTAAACAATCGTTATAATTAAAAACGAATCTAGTGTTTATAAAACTATTTCAAACTTATCATATTTAAGAGTAAATGTAAAAAGTATTTATAAAATTATTCGTAAGTCAGTACCAAAACTAATCTGTGTTTTGCCTAAATTATAATTTAAAAACAAGTAAATCAAGTGATTGAAAGCATACTGTTTTATATCGATGGTATAACAAACTGAATGTGATATTAATAATATATGAATATCTGATACAATTCACGTACACTATATCTCAAAGTGCAAATGATGTTCACAATTATCTTTTAACGCTATTTTGTATTTTGGCATTCGTTGGCTTAATATTGACAAAATTACCATTTGCAATTGCAACTCATTTGTAAATAAATAAATTAAAATTAAAGTGCATAATGTACTTATGACCATTTTAAATTATCTTATATTATTATACCAGTGATTATAATATTAAATTCCTATAAAAATACAGAATACTAATCATCAATTAAATATAATATAAATTCTTCAAAACTATGATATAATATTTGAGTACAAATTTATTATTATTGCGTAAAGTTAATATTAAATGTACAACAATTGATAATTAAGATGATTTTAAAAGAATTTATGAATTATAATAGAAAGGACATTTATTCTACAAACACTGCATCAATAATAACATGATAATTATCAATAAATGCTGTGATTATCATTTGAGCCATATAAATATAATTGATTTATTACAACAAAAGTCTATAATCTACATTATTAAATGTGTGAAAAGTTATGCAATCTAGCACAATTTTATTAAAATAGTTATTAACATAAATTATGTTATATTAACTGACTTTTAATTAAATTTATGATTAATTAAAATATACAGTTTGTACTTAAATTTAAATTTTATAATTTAAAATGTATCATAATACTTGTATTATTTTGCACACTTATGTTATCGATACTGTATACACATTTGGGTTTAATTTAATTTAATTAAGTAAAATATAAGATATTTCCATATGTATTTTGTAGACATATTTAGTGTTATGTTAGAGTATAAACCAAGAATGAGATAAATTTTATTATAATGATATTTTGATTTACAGTATAAAAGTACTCACATAACTGTAAACCAATTCATATGATTGCTTAAATAATGCATTGAATTACAAAATATATTAATTTTGTTTTTATAATTATTAAAGGTTTATCTTAATTAATGTTATATTCAAATGAATTGCAAGATTTCTAACTAAATAAACATTGAAAACACATTATTGTATAAATAATGATAGATTATAAGTTAATAAAATTATCATAAATACTGTATGTTTTTCTTATACAGTATTACAATAAAATAAATTACTAACATGAATTGCTTAATTGTAATTTTAATTTGTAAATACAATTAAAAAAGTATTAATTTTCTTATTGCTTAAGAATAATGAAAGATTAAGTTAGAAGTCTATTCTATAATAATTAGTTAGATCATTAAAGATTTAACCACCTACTTGAATAGCTATATAAATTCTGAGAAAACTAATTGAAAATGAATACACATTTCATTAATATCTAAAAACATGATAAATTGATCAGAAGTTTTAATGAAATGGCTGTAAAGTATAGGGCATTACTTTAGTGTTAAGTTGACTTAAGCCTAAACGCCGACATTTAGACTCCCG